AGGAATGACAATAATGTGGATCGACGCAACCTCTCTCGAATGTCTTCCCAAAGATGCTAGTGAATACAGGGAATCTGCTATAAGGAAATTTGTTATAATAATACAACTAAGCGTGTTAAAGACAGAGAAGAGTAATTTTCTTTGGTGTGCCCTGTTTTTCCTCCGGAGAAAATGGCTTCCTTGGAGGGTGAACGTATAGAATTATACCCCACGGAAGCCCTTCCCCTCCACAAAACCTGCCGTCCCCACGCTCTGCCGCCAAATCCCTGGGAATTTCCCAACCTGGAATTGGCAACCCGACAACACGGTCGAGAGGAAGCAAGATTTCGCTCCTTTTTAACTATCCCCCCCCCCAGGAGAGTCACACACAAGGAAGAGAGTACCGCAGATGCTGCACGGAAACGAGCCGTAGCCTCTGATCCCGAAAGACCTCATTAGATCTTTGAGCAGGGCGTTCTGTTTTTCTTTTTTAAATTCAAGACACACTTTTCAGGCATGCAAGACGGAAGGGACGCGTCTCAGCAGCAGAATTATTAAAGGCTTTGCGCGGGGGGTGGGGTGGGGGAGAATACTTTTAGAGGGAGATGGGGGGGGAGAAAGTGCTCTCAAAGTTATATAAGAACCTAAGAAGAGCCCTGCTGGATCAGACCAGTGAGGGTCTACCTAGTCCAGCATCCTGTCTCACACAGTGGCCAACCACTTCCTCTGGAGGGCCAGCAACAGGGCATGGAGGCCGAGGCCTTCCCCTGGTAAGAACATCAGAAGAGCCCTCCTGGATCAGACCAGTGAGGGTCCGTCTAGTCCAGCATCCTGTCTCACACAGGGGCCAACCAGTTCCTCTGGAGGTCCAAGCACAGGGCATAGAGGTTGAGGCCTTCATTAGAACATCAGAAGAGCCCTGCTGGATCAGACCAGTGAGGGTCCATCTAGTCCAGCATCCTATCTCGCACAGTGGCCAACCAGTTCGTCTGGAGGTCCAAGCACAGGGCATAGAGGTTGAGGCCTTCATTAGAACATCAGAAGAGCCCTGCTGGATCAGAGCAGTGGTCCATCTAGTCCAGGATCCTGTCTCACACAGTAGCCAGCCAGTTCCTCTGGAGGGCCAGCAACAGGGCAGAGAGGCCAAGGCCTTCCCCTGATAAGAACACCAGAAGAGCCCTGCTGGATCCGACCAGTGAGGGTCCACCTAGTCCAGCCTCCTATCTCCCACAGGGGCCAGCCAGCTCCTCTGGAGGGCCAACAACAGGGCAGAGAGGCCGAGGCCTTCACCTGATGTTGCCTCCTGCCACTGGGATTCAAAGTTTGACTGCCTCCGAATATGGAGGCTCTCTTCAGTCACCATGGCTAGTAGCCACTAATAGACCAGTCCACCATGAATCTATCGAAGCCCTTTAAAGCTGTCTATGCCTGTGGCCATCACTACATCCTCTGGCAGCAAATCCCACAGTTTAAGCACTCTCTGTGTAAAGTCGTGTTTCCTTTTGTCCGTCCTGAACCTACTGCCCATCAGCTCCATTGGATGCCCTCAAGATCTAGCCGTTTGGGAGAGGGAGAAAAAATTCCTCTTTCTCAACTCTCTTCACCCCATGCATAATTTTATAAACCTCTGTCATGTCCAATGTTCCCTCTAAGCTGTGGAGTCTTGTGAGCAAAAATTCTACTTTGTGAGCTCCTGGCATTGTTGTGAGCGAGCCATTTGGCTGCTGCATAAATTAGTTTGTTCTGGAGCCCTCCTTCCTGAACGAAGACAAAAATGTGTGAGCCGGAGGCTAAAAAATTGTGAGCTAGCTCACACTAACTCAGCTTAGAGGGAACACTGGTCATGTCCCCTCTTAGTTGTCTCTTTTCTCAACTGAAAAGTCCCGGACTCTTCAGCCTTTCCTCACAGGGAAGGTGCTCCGACCCCCTCATCATCTTGGTTGCCCTCTTCTGTACATAAGCCAAAATACTCTAAAGATGTCCTTTTCTCACATACAAATGAATTATCGTCAGGTCACACATACAAAAATATGCACAGGTTTTAAGGCAGCAGTCTTCAACTCTACAAAGAGGAGGAGGAGGAGGAGGAGGAGGAGGAGGAGGAGATTGGGTTTACACCCCGCCCTTCACTCCCCAAAGGAGTCTCAGAGCAACTTACAAACTCCTTTCCCTCCCCCTCCCCACAACAGACACCCGGTGAGGTAAAAGAAGAAGAGAAGAGATTGGATTTATACCCCGCCCTTCACTACCCACAGGTGTCCCAGAGCAGCTTACAAACTCCTTTCCCTCCCCCTCCCCACAACAGACACCCGGTGAGGTAAAAGAAGAAGAGAAGAGATTGGATTTATACCCCACCCTTCACTACCCAAAGGTGCCTCAGAGTGGCTCATAAACTCCTTTCCCTTTCCCTCCCCACAACAGACACCAGGTGAGGTAAAAGAAGAAGAGAAGAGATTGGATTTATAACCCGCCCTTCACTACCCAAAGGGGTCTCAGAGCGGCCTACAAACTCCTTTCCCTCCCACTCCCCACAACAGACACCTGGTGAGGTAAAAGAAGAAGAAGAAGAGATTGGATTTATACCCCGCCCTTCACTACCCAAAGGGGTCTCAGAGTGGCTCACAAACTCCTTTCCCTTCCCCTCCCCACAACAGACACCCTGTGAGTAATGTTCCCTCTAAGCTTTGGAGTCTTGTGAGCAAAAATTCTATTTTGTGAGCTACTGGCATTAAAGTTGTGAGCGAGCCATTTGGCTACCACATAAATTAGTTTGCTCTGGAGCCACCCTTCCTGAGCTAAGTCAAAAATGTATGAACTGGAGGCTAAAAAACTGTGAGCCAGCTCACACTAAATCAGCTTAGAGGGAGCACTGCCTGTGAGGTAAAAGAAGAAGAGAAGAGATTGGATTTATACCCTGCACTTCACTACCCAAAGGTGTCTCAGAGCGGCTCACAAACTCCTTTCCCTTCCCCTCCCCACAACAGACACCCTGTGAGGTAGGTGGGGCTGAGAGAGCTCTTGACAGAAACTGCTCTTTTCCAAGAACAGCTCTTATCCGAACTACGGCTTGCCCAAGGTCATCTAGCAGGTGCAAGTGGAAGAGTGGGGAATCAAACCCGGTTCTCCCAGATTAGAGTCCGCACACTTCACCACTACACCAAACTGGCAAACCACTACACCAAACAAATTCTAATTTCCCCGCTACCCGAGCAATAAATTTCGCTGTTTGCAAAAATAGCTTTCTGTTCACAGAATTTATACACCTTGTGCAATCTGGGAAGATCTCGTTTATTTGCACAGCAGTATGACAAAGGGAAACAGGGCCGGCCTGGCCTGGAGGGTGGACCTCCCCTCGGGAAACCTGGGCTCAAATTTAGCTATGGATTTCACTTTAGCAGCGCTACTTCCAGACTCCAGCCCATTCGAAATCCACGGCTTTCAACTGGACTGACTCTGCACAGTATTGCAGCACAAGGCGCTGCGATTCTTATTGATTTAAAGTTTGTACAGAATGATGTACTTTTCAGGGGGAGGGAGGGTTAGGAAGGGGAACGGCATGCGCACACAACGTTGTGCAGTTTAAAGTGCTGTATAAAATGGGCAAACCGGGCAGAGATTGGAAGAAATCGTTTTGGAGGGCAGGGAATTTTGAAGGATTTAAGTCGTGACCAGTGTTCCCTCTAAGATGAGTTGGTGTGAGCTAGTTCACAGTTTTTTAGCCTCTGGCTCACACATTGTCGTCTCAGCTCAGGAAGGAGGGCTCCAGAGCAAACGAACTGATGCAGCAGCCAAATCGCTCGCTCACAACTTTTAATGCCGGCAGCTCACAGAGTAGAATTTTCGCTCACAAGACCCCACAGCTTGGAGGGAGCCCTGGCCATGACCATAGGAATTTCCCCTTAGCCAAGGCTGTCGTGTGTGTGTGTGTGTGTGTTTCTCCAACCAAGCTAGGGTTGCCAATCTCCAGGTGGGGCCTGGAGATCTCCCAGAATTATAACCGATCTCTGGGCGGCAGAGGTCCGTTCTCCTGGAGAAAATGGCTTCTTTAGAAGGTGGATTGCATGGCCCCCCATCCCATCTAGCCTCCCTTCTCATATCCTGTCCTCCCCAGGCTCTACAACTCCAAATCTCCAGGAATTCCCGAAGCCCAAGTTGGCAACCCCTAAACCAAGCGTAAGAAGGTGAGTCCCACTGTACCACAAGAACTTGGATTGCTTCTGACCGGCAGTGCGGCAACCTGGCTCTCGGGTGACAACGTACCCTGACCCAGCTCTGCCCTATATAATTTTCAACTATAAAAATATTTTCTGGTTTTTCCCAGCCTCCATGAGGACTAGGCATTTCCTTAAGACGACAAAACAAAATCAAAATCCATCAGGCTGCGTGCAGGTTCCATGTCAGAGGCTGTGTATTCAATGTGCTGCAGGACACCTAGAACTCTTCGGATTCTGGGGGGTAAAGGATTGGGAGGATTTCAGTCGCCCCCGGTACACTTTCTTGCTTCCTTTGACATCAAGACATGCTGTTTGGCTTCTGCTATTCTCAAGGGGCCTTTTCGCCTCAGCGCGAGAGCGCAATGATGGATTCCTCAAATGGGGGCCGCTCCAAAACTTCGAGAAGAAACACAATTATCTTTCCAGTAGGTCGCCGGTCATACAGTCCTGGTCTACCCTGCACGTGCTGTCACCCACACTCACAAGTTTTTCTTCTAAACCACAGAAATGTTCGGTTTTCACCATCGAGAACGGGGAACTTTGCAGTCACCTGGACGGCTCTCGGAACCGGAGTGGGCGGCTGGGTGAGAGAGAGGGGAAAGGAGAGGATCGATAGCGCATTCCAGCAACGCCTTCTGGCTTCAAACAGGTATTTGCTCACGCCGCAGAGTCAAAAGCAGAAAGGCGGGAGGCGGAAAAAGAGGCTGCACGGTCAGGGAAAGGCGAGGATCCGGAGACGGGTTGGTATTCAGACTCTGAAGACCACGGAGCACTTGAGGTGGGCCGGTTCGAGGCCCTCGGCGTAGGCCAGGAGAAAGAACATTACCTTCCGGATCTTGGCCAGCTCGACGAGCCTTTCCCCAAACTCCAGGGCGTCGGCCTCGTTGCACTCCACCTCCGGGGAGTCAGGCGTCTTCCAGAAGACCCCCACGGGCTCCAGTAGCTGCCGCCGCATGAGGTTGGTCAGGTCGGGCGTCCAGTGCTGGGAGGTGCCGATGACGTCCACCTTCCCCGGGTTCTCCAGTGCGACGTTCCAGCGCACGAAGCGGAGGTTGTGCTGCTGGGTGAAGTCCACCCGGTAGACGAACTCGTTCGGCTGCAGGAGCTTCTCGCCGTCCTGGGGCTTCTCGTTCTTCTGCTGGAGGCTCTGCACCCTGAGCCTCATGCAGTTGGTCAGCTCGACGTCCTGCACCAAGGGGAGCTCCAGCTCGGACACCATCGCCTCTCCGCCGCCCGGCTCCTCCTCGGCAAACTTCTTCGGCACTGTTTGGCCAATGCAGAGAGGAAACAAAACTGTTGCAAACTCTCTCTCTCGTCTCCTCCCTTGACCCAGCGGGTGCTAAGCAACCTGAGCCGGTGACGAAGAGCGCCCTGGGGGGTGGGTTTCCTCTGGGTGCCCTCATCTCGTTGGCAGACGAGGAACGGATCCTGACGCTCCGCGCGAGAAATCTACAGGGATGAGAACTCTCTGATGTCAGCCTCCCCGGCAACCGGCCTGACGATGCTTCCAGAGTGAGATGCGATGGCCTGCCTGTTTAGATTTCAACCGAGGGCTCCTGTGTACCAAGACATTTAGGGATGCCAGCCTCCAGGTGGAACCTGTGTACAGTTCTGGTCACCACACCCCAAAAAGGATATTATAGCATTGGGAAAAGTGCAGAAAAGGGCAACTAGAAAGATCAAAGGGTTGGAACACTTTCCCTATGAGGAAAGGTTAAGGCGCTTAGGTCTCTTTAGCTGGGAGAAACGACGACTGAGGGGTGACATGATCGAGGTTTATAAGATTATGCATGGGATAGAGCAGGTAGAGAAAGAAGTCCTTTTCTCCCTTTCTCACAATACAAGAACTCGTGGGCACTCCATGAAATTGCTGAGCGGTCGGGTTAGAATGGATAAAAGGAAGTCCTTCTTCGCCCAAAGAGTGATTCACACCTGGAATTCACTGCCACAGGAGGTGGTGGCAGCTACAAGCATGGATGGCTTCAACAGGGAATTAGATAAGTATATGGAGCAGAGGTCCATCGGTGGCTATTAGCCACAAGATATAGATAGGGACTCTGGGGCAAGTGATTCTTGGTGCCTGGGGGGGGTCAACAGTGGGAAAGCCAGTCGAGTCCGACTCTAGGGTTGCGGTGCTCATCTCCGTTTCAAAGCCGAAGAGCCAGCGCTGTCCGAAGACGTTTCCGTGGTCATGTGGCCGGCATGACTAAACACCAAGGCGCACGGAACTCTGTTACCTTCCCACCGAAGTGGTGCCTATTTATCTACTTGCAATTTCTTGCTTTCGAACTGCTAGGTTGGCAGGAGCTGGAACTAGAGACGGGAGCCCACTCCGTCATGCGGCACACTCGGGTCTCGAACTGCTGAACTACCGACCTTTCCACAGCCTGGAGTTCAGCGTCTTAACCACATGAGGCACCGCAGCTCCAAGAATGGTAGGAGGATAAATAAAGCAGAAACAGGGTAGTTTCAGAGGGTAGCCACGTTGGTCTGCAGTGAAAGAGCCAGATTCAAGTCCAGGAACACCTTAGAGACTACAAGATTTATGGGGTAGACATCGCAAGATGTCACAGTCCCGCTGTACACTGCATATTGATCAGGCCACACCTGGTCAGACCGCCCTCAGGTGTTTGACACCCCTGCTCTAGGCTGATCCTGCACTGAGCAGGGGGTTGGACTAGATGGCCTCTATGACCTCTTCCCACTCTGTGGTTCCATGATTCTAAGCTGTAGAGAGAAACCTCTCTTTGTCAGAGGTCTCAAAAGCTCACACCCCGAAAATCTTGTCGGTATCTAAGGTCCTCCTGGACATGAATCCAGAAAACAGGAATAAATCGGTGTGCTTTAAAAAAAAAAAAAAAGGACAATACTGTACAAAAAAGCAAAAGAAAGGAAACCAGTTTAAATTTGTCAGCAGGAGGCATCTCTTCCAATATCGATAAAGAATCTGTCCTATGCAAGGCAGAACATTTGGGCAGTTGGAGAGCCAGTTTGGTGTAGTGGTTAAGTGCGTGGACTCTAATCTGGGAAAACCGGGTTTGATTCCCCACTTCTCCACTTGCACCTGGCTGGATGACCTTGGGTGAGTCACAAGTTCTCTCAGAGCTGTGTCAGAGTTCTCTCAGCCCCACCCACCTCACAGGGTGTCTGTTGTGGGGAGGGGAAGGGAGTTTGTAAGCCGCTCTGAGACTCCAAGTGAAGGGCGGGGTATAAATCCCATCTCTTCTTCTTCTTCTTAAAGCGGGAGAGCGGAAAACCTGCCGATTACGGCTCTCGGCACAGAATCCGGTGTCCAGAGAGAACGCCGGCTGTCATTTAAAAAAACAGAACGGGACAGCCAGTTTCCAGCCTCAGTCGTTACAGAGATATGCTAGAAAGGGCTTGAAGGGGGCCATGCTAGCTAAACTGAGAAGCCAAAAAGTTGCCTGCGTGATATTTGAATCAGCTGGGATGGGAAGTGAGTCACGGCCCCGTGCGCTTCCTCGCCCTTCCTCGCGAGGATCAAAATCTGGAATAAACTGTACAACCTTTGCTCGAGACGAGACAGAAGGCGGAATTTCAACTGGCAGACCTTCTCCCCAAAGGGATACACACAGCCTGAGTCATTCGATTCCAGTAGCACCTTAGAGACAAACTAGATTTCCAGGGTATCGGCGTTCGAGAGTCAAAGCTGCCTTCGTCAGATAGAGAAGAAGAAGAGAAGAGATTGGATTTATACCCCACCCTTCACGTGGAGTCTCAGAGCGGCTTACAAACTCCTCTCCCTTCCCCTCCCCACAACAAACACCCTGTGAGGTGGGTGGGGCTGAGAGAACTCAGACACAAACTGCTCTTTTTCAAGGACAGCTGTGCCAGAGCTTGTGACTGACCCAAGGTCACATCAGCAGGTGCAAGTGGAGGAGTGGGGAATCAACCCGGTTCTCCCAGATTAGAGTCCGCACACTTAACCACTACACCAAAGAGGCCTCCATTCATAGGAAAGACAATCTGAGGAAGGGAGCGTCAACCCTCAAAAACCTGTTTGTTGTTTTGCCGTCGAGTTGCAGCTGACTTATGGCAAACCCGTAGGGTTTTCAGGACAAGAGCCGTTCAGAAGAAGAGAAGAAGAAAAGACATTGGATTTATACCCCGCCCTTCACTCGGAGTCTCAAAGCGGCTTACAAACTCCTTTCCCTTCCCCTCCCCACAACAGACACCCTGTGAGGTAGGCGGGGCTGAGAGAGCTCTTTCCAGACCCGTCCTTGAGAGAACAGCTCTGACAGAACTTGTGGCTGACGCAAGGTCACACCAGCAGCTGCAAGTGGAGGAGTGGGGAATCAAACCCGGTTCTCCCAGATTAGAGTCCGCGCTCTTAACCACTACACCAAAGGTGGTTTGCCACTGCCTGCGCCCATGTCAGGACCCTGGTATTCCTTGGTGGTCTCCCATCCAAATACTAGCCAGGGCTGACTCTGCTTAGCTTCTGAGATCTGACAAGATCGGGCTATAGCCTGGGCTACACCCTGGAAAAACTGTTGGTGTAGTGGCTAGGAGTGCGGACTCTAATCTGGGAGAACTGGGTTTGATTCCCCACTCCTCCACTTGCAGCTGCTGGCGTGACCTTGGGTCAGTCACAAGTTCTCTCAGAGCTGGTCTCCCAAAAGCAGTCCTCGAGAGAGCTCTCTCAGCCCCGCCTACCTCACAGGGTGTCTGTTGTGGGGGAGGGGAAGGAGATTGTAAACCGCTCTGAGATTCCTTCAGGTAGTAAAGGGCAGGGTATAAATCCAATCTCTTCTTCTTCTGTTCTCTCAGGAGCAGTCCTCGAGAGAGCTCTCTCAACCCCACCTACCTCACAGGGTGTCTGTGGTGGGGAGGGAAAGGGGAAGGAGATTGTAAGCCGCTCTGAGACTCCTTCAGGTAGTGAAGGGCAGGGTATAAATCCAATCTCTTCTCTCCTCCTCCTCTAAGGTGTTACTAGACTCAAATCTTACTCGCCTAGAGCAGACCAACACACCTACCCTATGAGTTATACTAAAGCATTCCAGTTTACCACTGAGCCTGGAAAGTTCTCCTCTGACTTCCAAGTAGTTCTTCAGGGTGTTTTGCCTTTGACACGCTACGCGTAAGCCAGACGTTGATGGGATTTCTCGTCTCTCTTTCAGCCATATTTTTATCCTTCCCTTCCTCAGAGGACCAAAGGGCAGCTCAGCCTCCCTTTTATCCACACAACAACCTTGTAGGGTAGGTTAAGGGCAAGACTCAAGGTTGCCCAGCAAGCTTCCACAGCAAAGTGAGCATCCAAACCTGGGTCTCCCAGATCCTGGTCCAGGACTTTAAACATTATGCCATGTTGCCTCTGCACACACAAAAGATATCGAACCAACACTAACGCCACCCCTTTGTGGTAGAGGGAGTGTCTTTGGTGAAGGAATCAGTCTTGGATGAGGAACATCGCTAGTCACTCCTGAGAGCGTAAGAGAAGCCATGTTGGATTAGGCCATGGACCCATCAAATCCAACACCTTGTGTGACACAGAGGCCAAATTCCAGGTGCTATTAGGAGGTCCACTGGCAGGGCCAGAACTCCAGACGTCCTCCCACTGTGGCCCTCCAAGCACCAAGGAGGCAGAGCATCACTGCCCCAGATATAGAAACATAAGAGAAAAACCATGTTGGATCAGGCCAGTGGCCCATTCAGTCCAACACGCTGTGTCACACAGTGGCAAAAAACCAGGGGCCATCAGCAGGGCCATAACTCCAGAAGCCCTCCCACTGTGGCCCCCAAACACCAAGAATACCGAGCATCACTGCCCCAGATATAAGAATATCCACCAGCAGGGCCAGAACTCCAGAAGCCCTTCCACTCTTGTCCCCCGAGCACCAAGAATACCGAGCATCACTGCCCTAGACATACGAATATCAGAGAAGCCATGTTGGATCATGCCAATGGCCCTTCCAGTCCAGCACTCTGTGTCACACAGTAGCCAAAACCCAGGGGCCATCAGGAGGTCCACCAGTGTGGCCAGAACTCCAGAAGCCCTCCCACTCTTGCCCCCCTAAACAACAAGAATACAGAGCATCATTGCCCCAGGCAGAATGTTTCATCTGTAAAGGTAAAGGTTCCCTTGCTCGAAAGCCAGTGGAGTCCGACTCTAGGGTTGCGGTGCTCATCTCCGTTTCAAAGCCGAAGAGCCAGCACTGTCCGAAGACGTTTCCGTGGTCATGTGGCCAGCATGACTAA